TCTATTTCAATAAAAGTACCTAACCTATTTAGACTATTTTAATTTAAACGAAAGTACTACAATTATGAAATCTCTTTTCATTTGAAAGAAGGTAAATAACCCATCAAATCTCTTTTTTTAATAAAAGTACTCAACTTATTTAATTCTGTTCTATTTAATTAATTTATTCAACACATTATATCACTTTCTATTTAAACGAAAGTACTAAAATTAATAAATCTATTTCTATCTCAATGAAAGTACTATACTCTATAGATCTATTTTTATTTGAATAAAAGTTCTTACCTCCATAAATCTCTTTCTATTTTATTAAAAGTACTTAACTTATCAAATCTCTTTCAGTTTTAATGGCAGTACAAATCTCATCAAATCTCTTTTTATCTAAAAAAAAGTATATAACACATCAAATCTATTTGTTTTGGAATAAAAGTACTCAATTCATCATATCTCTTACTATTTTACTAAAAGCACTTAACCTATAAAGTCTCTTTTCATATGAGTAAAAGTACCAATCTTATTAAATCTCTTTCTATTTGAATGGAGGTACTTTATTATCAAATCTCTTTTATTTTAAATGACAGTACTTAACTCATCATATTTTTTTTTTAAATAAAAGTACTTAACCAATTTAATTTTTTTTATTTAAATGAAAGTACTTAACTCATCAAATCTTTTTCTATTTTACAAAAAGTACTAAACTTTTCTAATTTCATTCCACTGAAATAAAAAAACTTATCTTATTAAATCTTTTTGTATTTTAATAAAGAGACCTAACCTAAAAAAATTTTTTTTATTTGAATAAAAGTACCTAACTCATTTAATTTTTTTCTTTTTGAATAAAAGTCCATTACTCATTAAATCTTATTCTATCCAAAACGAAGTACTTAAAATATTAAATCCCTTTTTACTTGAATAAAAGAACTTCACTCATCCAAAATCATTATATTTGAATAAAAATACTTAATTAAATAAATCTATTACTATTTAAATAAAAGTACTTAAAATATTATATCTTTTTTAATTTCAATGAAAGTACTTAACTTATTACATCTCTTTCTATTTAAACAAAAGTACTATACTCATCGAATCTGTTTTTATTTGAATAGAAGTACTTAACTTATCAAATCTCTTTCAATTTTAATGCCAATACTTTACTTATCAAATATTTTTTCATTTCAATGAATTTATGAAACTTAATATATCTCTTTTTATTTAAATAAAAGCTTCTAAGTTATCAAAAATTTTTTTATTAGAAATAAGTACTCTGCTCATTAAGCCTCTTTATATTTCAATAAAAGTACTCAAATTAATAAGTCTTTTTTTGTTTAATTAAAAGTACTTTACTTATCAAAAATCATTCTATTTAAATAAAAGTACATAATTTATAAAGTCTATTTTTATTTAAAACAAAGTACTCACAATATTAAATCTTTTTCTATCTAACTGTTAGTACTTAACTCATAAAATCTTTTTCCATTTAAAGAAAAGTACTTAACTTATCAAATCTCTTTCTGTTTAAATAAGAGAACTCAAATCAATACATATCTTTAGATTTGGATAAAATTACTTTGCACCTAATATCTCTTTCTATTTAAATAAAAGTACAAACCTTATCAAATCTCTTTTAATTTGAATAAAAGTACTTAACAAATGAAATCTTTTTTTATTTAATTGAATGTACTCTACGTATTAAAACTTTTTCTAAAAAAACAAAATTACTAAACGCATTGAATCTCTTTCTATTTAAGTAGAAGTACCTAAACTATCAAATCTTTTTCTTTTTGAATAAAAGTACTTACCTTATTATATCGCTTTTTATTTAAATGATATAGTACTTAACTAAACAAAATCTTAATAATTAGGAAAAAAAGTACTCAAAATTTTGTGACGTCCCCGTTGTTAAACGAGTAAATGACGAGTGACCCCACAGATATTTGCCCTATTTTCGGTCAGTCCGTAAAGCCGGTACTCTACCAGGGATCTAGACTAGAAGAGCCAGCTCCTGCAAGTTGAAAGGTATGATAAGGTATACTTACCTTTAAAGAATTATTAACACTTCTTCTGGTCTAATTTTGTCGAATAAACGGTAGCAGGATTTCGATGTAATATGGGTTTTTTGCCGTTAAGATAAGGCTACTTAATTCACTAGTAAAAATAGAGTATATATTTCAAAGACACTGAAAAAATTACACGAGGATAAATTAACAAAAATAATGTAGAAGTCCGTCTTCCCAGCTAATAAAACAAAAGAGTATCATGAAAAAGACTGCTCTCGTTTCTAACGAATAATGAAGAATAATCTAGAAAAGTAGTCTTAGGCTGTTTTAAAAGAGAAAGTTTCTTGTACAAAAAACGCGTGAATACCTATTATTTGAACAGAGGTTATAAACTAAGTAAATATTCGCGAATGAGTCATTTCGTTGTTGTCAGTAGATCGTAAGCAAGGACTGCCGTGACTCACGTGCCCAGCACGGCTGAGTGGGAGGTACCCCTACTCGCATCCTAATGCCCTTTCCACTACCAACCATCACCAATTCGTGAGGAAAGAATAGTAATTGTTACATTAACCAAATGTTAACTAACACAAGTCGGTAATGTAGGAAACGCAGGTTACCCTATGAACGAAAATCGACACATTTTAATACTAATATCACATGCTGACAAAATAATAATTGTCGATGGGTGTTTATAAAAGTGCTTATAATGTAAGTAACAAAAATTTAAATTATTTTTTTTTTCGTATAGTATTACAGTAAGATAAATCGCAACTATTGAATATTATTTATAAAATGATTAACGTTGGATAATACGCCCTGCCATACAAGGTCGTCACTAGAACGTGACACCTCCCCCCCTTAAAGGAGAAGCACGAAAGAGTCCACTATTGAGTGCTTCGTAAAGCATCAACCCTATTGAAGACCTCCTCTTCTTAAGCAAAACTTCACTATTGTTAATATCTTCGGCAAGACCATCAGGCATTGGACAATTTATCATGAAAACACGGTTATGTCTATTCGGTGATTTCGACAAACACATCTGATTAGATTGTTCTGCAATTGTTTCTCTGTATAATACGACAGGATCAGACTTTTTAATTGGTATACAGGCGTGATCTTCTTCAAGATCTTTCAAACAGATTTCTAGGTAAAGTTCACTAGCACCAGCAATAATGTGCTCTCCAGATTCTTGGATGATACATTGCACCATAGGATCCGACTTAGCAAGACGTCTCAAACCTTCAACCAATTTTGGCAAATCTGCAGGATTTTTGGGTTTAACTGCTACACGTACAAAAAGAGAAATGATAATTTTTTAACTTTTATATTATGTGCATCCTTAAACGTAGTAATGGTACCAGTTTTGACCAAGAATTGATCAACACCGACAGGTCCACAAATGTTACTAGAAGATACATCTTCAATGGCTTCAACGTAACGACCCATCATCAAGATAGTACGTTGAATAGCTTTGTCATACAAATCCTCTTTCTTTCCGGGTTGGAAATTCAGTCTAATAATACGGGCCTTCATACCAGTACGCACTTTACCAGGAAATAAACGTCCAAAGGCACCTGCCATCAACCCCCACCGATCTAGCTAAAGTGATGTTCCGGTAATCCGTGGTATTACCTTTGAGGCTACTCGCCTGCGTGAAAGAGGTAAAAGCGAACATCCCTGTGTTTATTATAGATCGCAGTAGTAAATTGATCGATCTATCTCAATTCAGCACTGGTAAATTGTTGTTTCATTATGGAATTCTAACTGCAACCTGCTGAACGTATGTGGTTGTCTTTGTCGGCGTTTGTGTGCAGAAGTTGCCATCCGCCTTACAAGGGAGCGAAACGGCGATAATGTTAGCAGCTGCTCCTACACAATCATATCCAAGTAGTGCGGTCGTCGAACAGGTAGATGCGGCAACGAAGATGGTCATTTTGACGAACATATCTTTTTGAAACCAATGTTGATTCAATATAAACTTTAATAAACTTTATTTAAATGCGAACTAATAGAAACTCGTCTCAAGTTTGTTAAGCGTATCATTGCATGATCGATGATAGCGTTAAGCAGCTCCAATGGGCCTTTCTTATTAAAAAAAACGAATAGTAACAAATTGTAATATGTTTCGTAACTCGGTACGACATTTCCGTAAAAGCTGTCGTTGTTTAGCTCGGTTTAACTTCATTTTAATAACAAGAACGATTTTTTTGAAAGTAAATTTACAAGTTTGAATCGTTCATGAAATTCGAGAGAAATTAGGTGCTAAACAGAATTATAAAGTGACGAGGTTACCCACTAGGTAATAATAAAAAAAATTAAAAATAATAAAATATGAGATTCAAAGAGAAATTAAAGACTGTTAATAAATTTAATGAACAATTTATTATGACCTTGTTGAAAGATTTGTCCTTCACTGAGGAGATCCTCTGCAACTACAATTTTTTTATTTAAGACTTGTTGAAAAAATATATAAACATTACAATAAATAAACACTAATTTTTTTTTTTTTTACCTTGATCACTTAATTCACGCGTCAATACATATTATCTTATTTCCAGAGTCATACATTACAATAAAACTTACCATATTACAACATAATTTAATCCTAAAAACACCTTATCTCGTCACACGTAATCATATACTTAATTCTATCTAGACTAGTGTTTAATAATCCAGGTATCTTCCGTATTATAATGTMCTCTATCAGTGTGTCCTGTTTTGATAATTAAACTTTAAAATTTCATTATAGATGTTGTTTAGATTATTCGTGTCTATCCTGTAGTTAACTGTATTGTTATTTGTTATATGGTACATTTCGCTTCTATTCCTTTTGTACCAAATGTCTTCTTTTCCTAAAATGGCTGTCTCTTAAAAATTTAAACTTGTGTCCTGTTTAAAAATGGTGCTAGGCTAACGCYGTAGCATTATTCTTTTCAGCATTGGTAGGTTTACAATCATTCTAATGTTGTTCAAATCTTTTTTTTAGTTTTTGTTTAGTTTGTCCAAGAGGACAACACTAATAATCAAAACAACATCTATAATAAAATTTTAAAGTTTAATTATTATAACAGGACACACTGATAGAGGACATCATAATACGGAAGATACCTTGATTATTAAACACTAGTCTAGATAGAATTCAGTATATTGTTACGTTTGACCAGATAAGGTGTTTTTAGGTTTAAATTATATTTTAATATGTTAAGTTTTATTGTAATGTATGACTCTGGAAATAAAATAATATGTATTGACGCAGGAACTAAGTGATCAATGTAAAAATTAGAGTTTATTTATTTTCATGTTTATATTTTTTAACAAGTAATAATAAAAAAAATTTGTAGTTGCTGAGGAAGTCCCCAGTAAGAAACGAAACGTTCAACACGGTCAAAATAAATTTTTTATCTAATTTATTAACTGTCTTCAATTCCCTTTGAAAATTATATATACTTTTTTATACATATTCTATTTAAACGAAAGTACTT